CCTTACAGCCATCTATGAGCCGATTGTCTAGAAAATGTGGGAACCTCAACATCTCATAACCCTATGGGTCTCCACGGCCTATTATAGGGATACCTTTAGTTTTACATTTACTTTAAGGACTTAACCTCGAGAGAAGAATATTGGACAAAATTTTGTATGAAGTTGATAACATTGATATTCCACGATAATAACTACAGTCAGTTTTATCGCCTTCTTGTAAATTAGTATAATAATTGACTCCTTAAACTGATCAAGCAACTTTTCCTTATTCCAAATATAGTTAATGAATTCATGGATCTCAGACCGTAATACGTGCATTTCACCTCCTGCTTCAATTATTTCTGCCGGAATTTGATAACTACCGGGTGATCTATATTTTTTCAACTCTGCAATAGCACTTTCAATCTCAGAAGGACTAGGATCAGGTACTAACGGCTCAGCTGGATGCATTTCTGTCTGCCTAACAGCACTGACCCTATGTACGTTCAATAATTGAGAGGAGTAGTTTTCCGCCCATTCAAAGTATTGCGGAAATCTGCAAACAGATCACCATTCTCATCCTTCATTAAGTTACTTGTAGGTTGGTAACCCCTCTTATAGTAATTTATTACTCTATACAGATCTCTAATGTTCTTGTTCTTACGGTTCGTTGCAAGGTCATCAATTTTGTCTTTAAGATATTCCTTCTTTTTTCCTGAAATGTCCGTTGGTTTCACGCCTTTTATTGTTCAGCTTATCCCCATTTATTTCACTGGGATCTTGTAATCACTACAATTTGGCTTGTTTCCTTTAGTCTAATAATTCTGAACACACTTTGTCAAACCATGGTTCATGCTACTTCAATTACTAACAACATAGACTCTCTTTCGTTGAAATTTTGATTTTATCTCAAACAGTTTCCCAGTTCCTAGTCCACCTGATCATGTAATTTTTTAAAAGATGTGAATCTATTTGAGATTTCAACACGATACTCTTCTTTACCCTCGGCCTCGGAAAGAAACACAGCAGAATAAATTATAATTTGGGTTCTCTGCATGTAAGTCCAGTCACGCCTCTTTGCTCTTCGTCCTATCGAAATCATGGTTACAGTACATCACAAACACATCGTCCATATTGTCTGTTCCTTTGCTGCAGGTTAGGGGTTACCGTCTTGGGTTACTGGGCATTGGGAGAGGCTTATAGTTTATAAACGTAACGAAAAAAGTTTCTATATGTATAATATAAACTCCGTCGTAAATGCAACACTTTATTGTAGTTCTTTGCCCCCTTCTTTCACATTACATGTTTCCGGCCGTAATCGGTCATCATCAGGTGTATTTCACTTCACGTAGCTGTCACACTGCACTCAATATTAACATTTAAACTCCAGATTTCCAATTGTTCATTTTCTGTCGTCAATCGGCACCCGATATTCCAAAAATCCCCTTGTCGATATTGTCAATTGTGTTTTATGAATATTCACACGTCGATTGGTTTAATCTTTTTAAATCCTCATTTAGCTTTAATATTTAAAATTTAAATTAAATTTTAAAAACCCAAATCACAGAGATACCTGCTCTATGTTTATACATATGTGCTGCAGCGGCTACCTCTTGCTTTCAGCACAACTCGCGTGTTATTTTGTGCAGGTTCTCTGCGTGCGTGCCACTGCTTTACTTTAATACGTCTGCTAATAGAGTAGCGAAATAAGCTTTAGAACTGAAGTAATTTTATTACGAACAATTTTGCACCCGTCTCCCCGTATAGAAACTTTCTCTTAAATACTATTTTAACACAAAAAGAAGGCTATAGCAAGTGACATGCTGTGTGGTTACAAATAGTCCTGTTACTGAACGTCTGAATATTTAGAACTGTCGGCAGTGTACAGAGATTCTATTCGTAGAGCAGGAATCACCACTTAATTTGCGATTAACAGCAAACAATTAAGAATTTATACAAATATGATGTTTTCGGACATTATCCACCGTCTCTATCTAAACACAGCATTTCGGATACTGGTTTCTGTCTCCGTCTTCAGGTAAAACCCACTCAGATGATCGCAAACGATAGAGTTAGTCCCTATCTCCGGACACCTGTGCCAGTTTCAAGATGGGGTACATAAATCAAACACAGGTAGTATATGAAGACAGAAACAGAATCCAGTCTCCGAAACCTTGTGTTTTGAAAAATAAACTTGAAGACTTTTAGATAAAGACAAAACGATGGATAATGTCCAAGAACATAATATTTGTACTAAAATACCATCATCAGAAAACTTTTAGATCGTAATTAACAATTTATTATGATAATTTAACATTTGTCACTGGCACCAAAATCTATTCAGAGAACATCAGCCTCCCAGCAGCCGTGCTACTGTTGTTTCCTGGTATAGAAAATATTGAATAGATGCGAATTATAAAAGTTATGACATCTTAACCAAGAGGCTAAGTGAATTTCTTCCAGATCACATGATATATAATTTAGTGGGCCGTAAAACTTGTTACCGGTATGTTGTTATTAATTTTACGTCCCTCGTTAGTTTTAATCACAATATTACAATATTAAGCACACTAACCTCTTCCTTCTAGATTCGTATCTTACGCAAACTGCCTTTTTTTAAGTACGCGGCATATCCGTCCCTCAGCGGATTCTAACCTAAAAATTCTACATGAAATTTACATTTTATTTGACGCTGTCAGCTTCTTCCTATCATTCTCTCTGCAGTCTGAGGGTCTATTTGCCATTTCACTAATCTGTAATTCATTCTAATATCTTCACTCGTCTCTTTATCTGGGAATGTAACTGGATTTTCTCCTATTAGAAAAAGCATTTCAGCAGCTTCAGACCTCTCATTTGTCTCTTCACACAACTTCATGCATAAAAACTCCGTGTTTTTAGTCCGCAAGCGAACTATACCGACCGAGCGACCGCCGCTTGTCGGCGAAGTTTAGTGCCAACTTTTGCGGATAGAGGGTGTCGCGTGGTCAGCGCAACGAAGCCGCTATTTCCTTGAAATAGCTCATTTGTCTTGTAACATCTTATGGAATTTTGTTTGAATTTCCTTTGTTTCTTTTCTCGAGGTTCCTGCTTCCTTGATTTTCATGACCATCGATTGCAGATACAACTATGTATATATTCAACTTAGTGCTGAGTAGAATCGGAAATTCTATTGTTGTAAGCAACTAGTAGTAGAGGAATTGCAGTGCGTGGAAGTACAGACACACTCACACTATGTTAATTACTTCCTATTTAGTTCGTGTTTGAGATTTCATGTTTTCATGACGATGGCTATGAGGAATACAATCTTCCGGGAACTGAATCTGGTAGAAGTTACCGATGTTTCAGAGACACGTCTGTAAACTTCTAGTACTAAAATACACGATGCCACATCCCAGAAGACACTACTCTCTAAAGTTAGTGGCATATTTTTGTTTTACATGTGTTCGTAAGAAGTGTCATTATGTCTTGATCAAGGATATCTCGAAAAGAATGTACAGGAACTTATTTACTTAGTTTGTTATTGGAGAGGGTGGGTTTCCCCATGCACTTAGACCAGTATTGGTCCATTGTGCTTCCCTCTATGATATTCTACCAGTCTCTATACCCTACCGATATTGGTGCGTACCATCAGTCCCGACCGAGCCAGCGAGTTCGGCCTCTACTGGCTTAGCGGTATCTATAATGCTTCCCCCATCTATCAGAGGCGTTAGAGACTACTGTTGGGCGGGAAATGTCCTTGAATTTGGCTCAGTGACCTCCTTTGGAGACATGAGGTTGTTTTACGTGCCGTAAAGCTACGACACGGGACCCACGGCTTAAAGTCCCTCCCGGAGGACTTGTTCTCTGAATTTTTCTGCCCTTAAAAACTCCACGACCTCCGCCGGGTTTGAACCCGCGTACCACGAGTCATGAGGTGGGAACGTTACCTCTAGACTACGGAGGACGCTAACTTACTTACTTACTTACTTACTTACTCATGGACTGAGCCATTTTGGAGGAGAAGCCAAATCTCCAGCTACTCAATAATTTCCCAGCATTTTATGGAACCCGAAAGTTCATTACCGTGTTCACAAGAGCTCTCCACTGGTCCCTATCCAATCCAGATAAATCCAATCCATACCATTCCATCCTATTTCTCTAAGATCCATTTTAATATCGTCCACCCATCTGCGCCTTGGTCTTCCCAGTGGTCTCTTTCCTTCTGGCTTTCCCACCAATATCCTATATGTCTTCCTCTTCTCCAAAATTCGTGCCACATGCCCTTCCCACCTCGTCCTCCTTGACTTGATCATTCTAATTATGCTTGGAAAAGAGGACAAGTTACGGAGATCCTCATTATGCAGGTTTCTCCAACCTCCTGTCACTTCATATCTCTTCGGTTAAAATATTCTCCTCAACACCCTGTTCTCAAACACACTCAACAGAAATACGCAAAGAGTTACAGGTATATTTGTCATGCATAAAATAGTGTCTGAATGAGGAGGTTCGAGAACAGGCTTAGCTTAGAGGAAGTGGGATTCAACCAGGGAATAAAGAAACACTTTCCTTGCTGTTTTTTAATGTGTACGGTATCTTGTAAATATAAGATTAAAATTGAGAAGAACTTCACACGACAGGTTACTATATTACATTGTCTTGAATTAGTAAATTACTTAAAAATGCAGCATTTTGATTATCCAGTATGGCAATTATTATCATTGAAAAGGGTAACTATGGCGCTCTCTCAAACACACACGCAGTGAGCTACACGTGATATTTCTCACATACTACAAGAATAACTATAAATATACTACAGGTATTGTCTGGTAAATATTTTTGTATAAGCTCTTATAACAATATTTATGGCACTTTGTTTTTTTTAATGCTAGTGGGCTGGGACTAAGTCCCTTCTACTGTGGCCACTTCTGGCCTATTGTACCAGCCCCATGTGATAGGTGAGGGTGATTGTGGAGCAATTGGTGGAATGAAGATTGGCAGGGTAAACCGTAGTACTCGTAGAAAACCACTTTGTCCATCACAAATCCCACTTGACCAGACCCTGGATCGAACCTGGGCCGCTGCGATGGGAAGCCAGCGACTAACCGCTTGAGCTATAGCGGCGCCGCCCTAGCACTTAAGTTAATAAGCTATCAAACTCATCGATGCTGATTCTGTATGAAAAAAGCAAACATATTTTAGTGGCCTACAGGTTGGTATCTATTTTAAAAGCGATGTGATGCCTTATTATGCATATATTTTGGTTAAATTTTTTTTTAATTTAGGCCTACTCTTGTTAAAATTCTTTGCATTCTACTATGTTTATAAGATCATATTTAGATATTAAAATTTAATTACCTCATTTATTTCTCCTCATTTTCATATATATTCATGTATTCGTTCAACTATTGAGTATTGTATGAAATGAAAAAAAAAACATTAATTTCATTAAAAATAACATTTTGTGGTTTCTGATGAAATTTTACTTCTATTTCAAACCGACGAAGGTTCCAATTTTTGGCAAATTTTGAAGGTTTCATGTCATCGCGCCCGTTTATACTACTATCCCTGTTGTGGGATTATCTGTTGGTGAAACGAGGAAAAGATCAATACGTACCTAAAATTAATATATAGTCCAGCAGAAGACAACAGACACACTAAAAAAATAGTAAGATATCAGTGAAATGATATTTTGGTCGGAGCGCCATATGATTGGAACTGGTTTTCTTGTTGAAGACAAGACAATTCCTCACAGATGTCCATGTCAGTATTCCAGCGACATTGCAAAGGGCAACGTTTACACGATCGAACGCCGTTTAAACACTCATAGAAAAACTGACTGTTACTTGGATGCGGCAAGAATATTGGATATACAGTCGAGGGACATGATGGTTCTGGCTTGCCACCTGTCGCTGCGCAACATTCTGGTTTCCCTGGAAAGAGTTTGGGACAGCCAACGCTACATGAGCTATCGCAACGGCGTAAAGTGCTATTGTACTCTTGCCCATTATCACATGCAGCAAGCACTTTAATCCCAGCCGTGCAAATATAATACATGTCACAACTACATGGGTCTTCAAACACCTCACCTTCTGTTTCACAGCACTCTTTGATATCTCCTCGGTCCTTGCAGCCTGCGTTACAAGGGTGATCACAGGTGTGAGTCGCCTCATTAAAGTGAAGATCTCCGGGGCAGTGAGACCACGACAGACTGCAGTGGTTATAGTATAGCTGGCAATCTGTGTCATGCCTCGTAAGATCACAACATTTATTTTGTATACAGTTCTTTTTATTGCTAGGGGGGCATACATCCTTTACAATTTGCCCACTTCTGCATACTTCACAAATTGTACAGTCTTCAGGGTCTACTCTCAGAGGCATGTTCTCGTCACATGGGCAGAAACAGCCTCGTATTTCACAAGGGTTCCTGCAGCCTGCTGTACACGGATCGTCACACGTTTTCGTTACTGGGTTGAAATGGAGGTTTCCTTCACACTGTGCCCAACTTTTAATGCAACTGTCATAATACATTTGGCAATTTGTAGGGTCTTCGCTACGCTCGCAAATTCCACAGTGTGTTTGTACTGTAGGTGGACATGTGTCTTTCACTAACTGCCCACTTCTGCACACTTCACAAATTGTACAGTCTTCAGGGTCTACTCTCAGAGGCATGTTCTCGTCACATGGGCAGAAACAGCCCCGAATTTCACAAGGGTTCTTACAGCCTGCTGTACAGGGATCGTCACACGTTTTCGTTACTGGGTTGAAATGGAGGTTTCCTTCACACTGTGCCCAGCCTTTAGTGCAACTGTCATAATATCTTTGACAATTTGTAGGGTCTTCGCTACGCTCGCAAATTCCACAGTGTGTTTGTACTGTAGGTGGACATGTGTGTTTCACTAACTGCCCACCTCTGCACACTTCACAGATTGTACAGTCTTCAGGATCTGCCCTTGGAGGCATGTTCTCGTCGCATTTACAGTTGCGCCTGCACTCCGGGATTCTACAAGGATTCTCGCAACCTGCAGTACATTGGTCATCGCAGTCTCTCTTTCTCGCATTAAAATGTTGACCATTCGGACATTGTCTTCTCTCTTCAAACGTTCCGTTGCACACGAAAAAGTGCGTGCAGTCGGAATAGTCCGCCTTCTTGAGCCCTGTGTCACACCTGTTCGGCCCACATATCGGCGGAAGCAGGCTCTCTGCTCTGGTTGTGGCGTTGTGCTCGCAGGCAGCGTCCAGGGGCCACACGCAATTCAGTATCCTAGGACTGAAGTACGTTGTCGGAGCACAGGGTCTGCATATGGGCTTTCTGCTGCCATCGCACTGGATGTAGTAGTGACAGTCGGTTGGGTGAGGAAAGTAGTTCTCGAAATCCGTTACAGGATTGATGGGGCACTGAGGCGCTGGACCTTCTGGGCACGAAGGATCAGATCCCCAGTGCCAGCAGTCTGCACCAGCAATGAGGAGCAGTAGGAAACCTGCAACAGTAGGCCTTTTTATTATTACTTTGAATTTAAATAATGCCATGATTTGGGGCTAAATATACATATTCCTCCGTACATGGGGTAAGCACCATGTTATATACACATAGTTTTGCTCTTAAGTACTTATAATTAATAGGATAAACCTGCTGACTTTTTAAATATAAGTTGAAAAGAATGGAGAGTTAATTGCCTTTCTTTGAAGTACATGCTTTCCACAAATATTCTGTCTTCGACTGCCAGTCTTTCATTGGACTTATTAGTAATTTATAGGAGGTACAGATCCATTTCAGCGATAGCTAATCAGCAGTGACATACAATACTGCACATATGACGCATATGATTATGGCCCCAGAGCTGGTCTAGATAACGTGTAGGAGAGAAAATTCTTGACCATAACGGGATTCGAACTCCGAACCTTCGAACGTCCAGCCTATAGATAGTCGCTATACGGACTGTGCTTTCCAGCTCCTCGAATTACAGTAAAATGTGAAAGTTGAATTAGGTCTATTTATCCTTCACGTTTTGAAATACATTAACCTTACGTCGACCTCAACCCTTTTTAATAATTCATTTAAATTCAATTCATTTGTTTACATGCTTACTCAGCCGAAAATGAAGTAAGCACAAGCATTACAAAATAGCGATGGAAATAAAACAGACACGAAAGAAAAAATAAGGAAACTTGTGCCATTTAGATTACAGTAAATCTGTTAGCTCAAANCCACCACCACCACTGTTAATAATATAACGTGTATAGCTAGGCAACGGCGCGATGAACACCTCGCTTAAGTGCACTCAACAATAGGACGAATGTTGATAGCTCGTTGCTAGACACCAGTCAGTGTACCAATGGGTTGGCGAATAGCTATTACGTGACTGGCTTTCTATGGGATCCGTGTCGCGTCAGTTACTACGCAACGACAAGGGAAACATGCCTCTATGTAACCGTTCGTCACAATTTGATGGATCTTTTGTACTAATTAAATTTATATTAAGTTAATATCTCGTAAATACAAAGACATCCAGATAGCAGATAGCTAACTCTTACACGCAGAAGTGACATAGTTCAAGTTTTGCTATGTGGACAGGAAGTAACATCTGGTACTTTTCCTGGAATTCTGGCAGTCGGAAAGTCTTTGAGAATCTGAGAGCTGACAGCTTGGAACAGCTATAACTTAGAAGTGGGAGGGCCGGAGCCTCATCCCCTGAGAGTAATGCATCAAGTCGCTGTCAACTTTAGCGTCAGGTCAGCAACTGCCAAAATCACATAGCAAAGCAACATGATTGGAAATTCACAAATTTAGGGAAACTCCTAGTTTGAAAACTTAACCAATGGCACAGGTTGGAGGAGTGGATTTCTCTTGGAGTCTGTGGTTCGTGGACCTCAGGATTCAGAGAGAGTGCATTCCACCTCAGGGAGTCTTCTTTCAACTTTCGGCCAAGTCAGACACTAAATACAAATACGTCCCTTCAGTAAAAGTATTACAAGCTAAATATAATTAAGTGTAACCATTAGAGTTTCCGTTGTGTTTAGTGAGCTTAAGTTAATTAAATAATTAGTAAGTGCAAAAGTCTGAAGTGGTGTATGTTACTGTAGCGTAAGGTTCTTCCTGCCCTGCCTGAGCCAAGCCTGTATATGACCCGGGATAAGAACTCATCTCTACCCATTACAGAGCAGAACTAAGCTACTTCCGTCTTTCCCTACTTGCGGGACACCTAATGGTAGTACAGGAACGAACTCATCGCCTACCAGCACCAACAACCACAATTCTCCTCCTTCCCACCTAACGTCTCGCCATCCACGAGCAGAGGGAGGAGGGTAGTAACTCCAGTGGAGGTGTCCAGACGCGAGGTGCAGGTGAGCCGCAACACAGGGAAAGGAAGGGATACAGGCAACGAACTAATAAGCGACGTAAAGTCGCGCAAAAGGCAGTCACAAGTGGTGCCAAACGTAGGGGCCACAGAAGGAAGAGCGGTAACATCTACAACAGTGGAGGCTGCGATTTCTGCGTGGTCGGGGACTAGATCTATCGATTGGGCCAAACTGAATAGGTTTTACCTCAAGACGGGTACATAATCCAGTCTCCGAAATGTTGTGTTTGTAAGTAGAATCAAGACAGTATTTCGGATAAAAACGGAAAAATGGATAATGTCCAGAAACATAATTATTGTATCTGAATTATTATTAAAATTACTGACGTGTTTGTCACATGCATCACGATTTCATGTAACAATATAACCATCCTTCCCCGAAAGTACTTGACAACATAAACGGCGGACTGGCCGTGACTGAACAAGTGAGAACTTGTTTGACCATGGGAACAAACAGATTTTAAAGTCTGACGAACTCCGTTGCCAAGGTAATATAAACGAGGGCCTCAAATATTTTTAATAAAAGGTCATCAGTTCCTTTTTGTAGTCGACGTTTCGATTGTACTTACTTAATCTGTTCCTCTTGTGCCTTATGGTGTCCAGGTTTTTTTCCATTTTGATCATTTTACAGACAGTAGGACACCTTGGACGAGTGATCAGCTCGTCTCAAGGTCTCTACCTAAACACAGAATGAGCACACATACCAAACACCTATGCCTTGTGTGGGATTCAAACCCACGATCCAGGCTTCCAAGCGAGCGAAGACAGTACATGCCTTAGGGGGCCCATACACATACGAGTCTGGCTCGCGAGTTCGACTTGGCCCGGGTTCCAATGAGCCAAACTCGTCCGTGTGTGGATCGTCACGCTCATACGTGTGTGGTGAAATTGATCCGAGCCCGGCTCCTCGCCGAGCCGGACTCACGAGTCAGACTCGTACGTGTATGGGCCACCTTAGATCTCTCGGCTCCCATGACTGGCTGTTTCGATTATAGCAGTGAGATAAATATTATATGTTACAGTTACTTTTTCATAGAATGGGCTTTTTTTATACGCTAGTGGAATCATATACGAAAGTTTCGAAATGCTCAGTTGGTCATGTTAACTCCAAAATATTCCAGCGTTGACTACAGTGAATTTGCTGTCCATGCAGGCTGAGTTACAAGACATCAGAAATGAACTGTCAAGCACTATTTATATTCGACTGTGAGTAGGTATTATAATGAGTCTGCGAACTTAAAAATTTGCAGAAATGAAAGTGACGCGTCAAAAGAATGTGAAACTTCTTATTTTTGTTTAAGAACACAACCTTTCGGAAGCTGATTCTTCTGTCATCATCAGATAAAAGTAGAAAACCTATTTTGCTGGGTCCATTACATCAATCTAATCCGGGAGAGAATTCAGCTTCCTCTAATACTTCCAACAGAAGAGGTTTCGTGCTGTTACCTGGTGACAAAAGAAAAGTAACTTCGGAAACTTTGTAATGTTAATGAAAAGTGAGGCGATGTAAAGTATAGAATTTATATGTCAGTTTGAAACTGGGGTTAGCAGCGTTCATTTAAAGAATTGTGAAGTTGATACTTATTTCTTATGATACGTAGAAATATGCAGGACACTGAGTGGCCAAATGAAACTGATGTGCTGGTCAGTAGCAATATAACCTACATATTACACAAAACCGTGGCTACAAAAAAGTAAAAGTTTCTCACGAAACTAAAGAAAAAGGAAGTTTTTATTATTACGTAACACGGAACGTCAGTATAAGGTTCAGTCGACGCTTTTAAAGTCTTCATTTCCTTCACAATTTTTCCGGTTAATTTTCTTATTTCAGTTGTGAAATACAGGAAAAAAGTTATTGACACAAACTTCATCAAGAACAGAGATATTGCACCAAATAGAGAGATTAATTATATTGTGAACAAATCTGATAGATTTTTATGATTTTTATGTAGAAATAAAAGATATAAATATTTCAACGAAAGGTTAGATTTAAATTTCGTTTTGCATCTGTCTTTTGATGGATAAGAAATTCTTTAAAATCATGAGCAAATATATTTGTGTATCGCGTATAGTAGAAAGTATATTGGACCAATATATATGAAAACTATATTCTACGAACAGTTTTATAGGTAGAATATCCATATTAACCTTCACTTAGAGGTGTTTCGCAGACGAAGTGGAAGAGCTTACTATCATTTGCTCAGTTTATGACTTTCGCGGAAAGAAGGCGCGGTAGATAATGGAAACACTCTAACTTACATTGCTATGTTACGGTGATTAATGAAGTCATAATATGCATTATTAACATTATTATTAGTAACTTTTTCCTTGGCCGCATCCACGAACAAAATAAAAGGGACAAAACATTTCTTGAAATTTATTTGAAATAATATTTTGACGTGGTTAGGCTATTTCGAAATCCAAGTTGCAGTGGGGTGGGATTAAGACTTTGTGAGGCTCTGAAGTATGACAGAGATGGAGCCCATGTATTGCACCCTCCCGAAGATAAGAATGAAATATATGTTCGTGTATGTGGAAGTGTACAAACACGCGATTGTCAACAGCCGCACAGTTGCACTATAATGAACGATGCCCCCTCCCCAGACATGTTTTAGATTGTCACATCTGTTCCTGTGTGCATTGTTCCCATCATTAAAATGTGATTCACGATAGAATATTCCGATGTCTTGTGGGTATTTTTTTGTCTCGGTGTTCGGAGACATGCAAGAAAAAGTATCTCAGGATGTCGAACAAGTCGTCTTAAAAGACAGCAATTTTAACTCGCATTCTGAAGAGCCCGATTCAAATATCGGTCGGAACACCGTCGACAATGACCGGAAATTTCCGTAATTTTTTAAAATGTCGAGATATTACATAAAATTACATCACTACCGCATTTCTGCACATCATTTCCAAGTTTCTACTAACAAATCGTCTACAATTCGACATTACACTCCTTAAATATTAAAGTAAATATTATATTTCAGAATCCCGTTGCATTGAGACATTATCCTTATTGTTAGAGTACACGTCAATAATGCAACAATATTTTTTTAAAATGTAAAAGACATCTAAAATATGTTTCTCACGAAAAAGTGCAAATTTAATATTTTACGACGTTTTTAAAATCATAAAATGTAATTAAGACACTAAAAATATAACTTGTACACCAAAAGTGATCATCAAATTACTAAAATATCTCTAGTTTTACACATGCCTCTTCTCAATGTACACCAGTAACACATATACGGGAGAAACACGACACACCAAAACTACGATGGTTTCAAAGAGTACAATTACAGCGTTCTAGCCATGAGATAAAAACTAAACAATGACGACAGACAAGTGAACAGTGCAGTGGTCTCCCTGAAAACAAATGAAAAATTACCTTATGATGGCCCATGTGCGGCCGAAACATGGTACATTGAGAAGAGACATATGTATAACTCGAGACATTTTAGTAATTTAATGATCACGTTTAGTGTCTTAATGACATTTTATGATTTTAACAACATCATAAAGTATTAAGGCTACACTTTTAGTGAGAAACTGATTCTAGATGTATTTTATATTTTAAAAAATATTGTTGCATTATTGACGGGTGCTTTAATAATAAAGATAATAAAAATACATATTAGAACAGCCCATGATTGTTACGAAAGCAGCTCTAGGCGACAGAACTTCAGGACCTCGCAACTACAGAACGAATTTATCGATTCTGAATTACAAAAATTGGAGCCCAGTGTAATACACTGAGAATAATGAGAGAGCTTGTCGAGAACCGAACCAGTAACCTGGAAGATTAGCCCGCCGCTGCTAGTACTGCCACATTAAGATTCCTGAAACCACTGACCTGTGCAGAAACTTTTGCCACTCCAGTCTTGTCCTCTGCAATGTTGTGAAGAGCTGAAGCACGCAAAACCCATGTTTCAGTCTTTCTGAGCTCCTCCTAGCCTTACCGGTCATTGTTATACCACTGTGGGTTGCAGAAGGTCATGGACGTAAAAGGATGGTATGTTGTGTTGAAGAATACTTGTCCATTCGTATGCACTGCATTTGCCAAATTATGAAAAAATGCAGCGAGTTTACCTGTCTCCTTACCAGGCAGAGGATTATGTAAGAGAGGACAATGAATGTAAGTAAGTCGTTTTATACGCAGTATGTGCATAAATTAATTCTGTTATCAGGACAAAAACCTAAACATCACATACTTACTGCACGGCCTCTTGTTGTGTAATTGTTTATACATCGTTACAGTGAAATTAATTAACATCGTAATTTCTCCTCAAAATTTCTGTCCTCTCGGATGTGACCCCTTGTTGTTTAGTAGATTGTACCAACATTCTGAAGGGTACCACTCTCTACATATTTAGGGCGTAACTCTTACAGTCTGCAGGTTGAGGAAGCAGGTTTCTCATAAACATTGGCGCCCAGATACCAAACTGCACTGCGTCACTTCCAGGACGACCGTAATCGTGGAACTCATTACCGTGAGAACTTCAAGTCCGATATAATTTTCCCTCACATATACGCGCCTATTGTCATTTTCGTATTTGTGTAGGTATACGAAAAAGTGTCTTGTTGGTAGATGGGACAGTTCAATAGTATTAAAATTATTTTAAAATATGTTACGTAAGCCGTCCTTATCACATATACGTTGATGTTATCTTTTTAATAACATGTCAGAAATTTATATTAAAATATATCACAAAACAGAAAAATAAGATATCCAATTATTATTTTTTTATTCGTAGTGGGGTGGGACTAAGTCCCGTGTACTGCGGCCACTTCTGGCCTATTGTACTAGCCCCAGATGATAGGTGAGGGTGATTGTGGAGCAATGGGTGGAATGAAGATCAGATATTCAGTTAACAGGTATCAGATTTTTTCGTTCATATTTTCCACCGATATATTCAGGACAGAATAAGTTTTAAATAAATAATTTCTTATGTTGGCCATTGCCCAAGGTATGCTTAGCATACACAGCGGTTCAGGAGTTGGTTCTGTTTCCGTTTTGAGTTCATGCATTGCTGCGCCACTGAATGCTGTGTCATTACTTTTTAAAGTTTAATATTTCGGACTCAACACTAGGATAGTACGCCAACCACGTGACAACTGGGGAAGGCCCTGCACGGTTGTTAACAATTCTACATATGTCACGCATGTGGTTATTTGCGATTTCGTAGTAGAGGTAGATGTAGGAAGCGCACAGTGGCCTGTTAAATGATGTGACACTACTTTAAAAGAGATCACAACTTGTTCCTATCACATGTCTTCAATTCATCGTTCTCAAAGCACTTTATCATTCGATGTTTCATGTCTTACACAAGTGAAGAATCATTGTTAAAAAAAATTCGATTCAGAATTACTAGGTTTTTGGACTTCGCTCATCGTCCGGTTTTCTGAAATCTAGGGAACACAGTGTGATTGAGGTTAGCTCTTTCTAAGGGACCCAAAAGAGGAGGAGTCTTCCTTCCTCACCTGAGGACGGAAACAGATACATTTTCCGAGATATTATATTGTCTAGTTTCTAGAATACTGGACGATGGACAATGTCCAAAAACCCAGTAATTATGAGTGTCATTCATCATCGTAAGAATCCTTTAGAATTTAATTAACTATTCAGTGAGGCCGCGCCATAGCTCAAGCGGTTAGTCACTGGCTTCCCACCGCGGCGATCCGGGTTCGATCCCGGGTCTGGTCAAGTGGGATTTGTGGTGGACAAAGTGGCGCTGTGGCAGGTTTTCTCCGAGTACTTCGGTTTCCCCTACCAATCTTCATTCCACCAATTGCTCCACAATCACCCTCACCTATCATCTGGGGCCGGTACAATAGGCCAGAAGTGGCCGCAGTACAAGGGACTTAGTCCCACCCCACTAGCAATAAAAAAATATTTAGCGAATCAGGTTGGAGGTAAGGCGAAAAAGCAAACGTAGAGATCTCTGGACAACACATTACACCTTTCTATAAAACAATGACAAAGACCATGGAAAGAAATTGAGTATTTTCCGAAGGCGTGTAATTATACAAACTTTCAGAATCGAAAATATCTTAGAAGTGCCACGACTTTGGAACTCTGAATGTTATTAAAGCCAGCATCTAGTGAGAAGGAATTAATGTATGAAGACAAAATGGTATTAATTCGCGTAACTAACAAATTAATAAATATAGTCTTTCTTCAAGGGTTAATAGTGGCTCTGTTACCCAGGAAATTTCTCGCCTGATGGAATCCTAAGACTGGATTCTGAGTTCATAAGAGCCAAGGTAATGTTCAATAAATACTTGTATTTAAGAAAAGTTGTCACTTATCTTTCACATAGAATTTGAGACACAGACAGACATGATGACACTCCAGTCATGTATCATCTTATAGCATAGAACGTAGATTTGAAGGATATAATTAAAGGTCACAATACAGAATGTTTCACTAAGAACTAAATCAGCCGAGTCTCTGACCGTCGGCTTGTTATCCGGAACATCAGATGTCATCTCCCAAGAAAACCGAGCCTAGATTGGAGCCTAAAAAGCCGCGCATTGTAAACACAGACATTCAGTTCTTAAAGTAATTATATCGTTTTGAAGAACTCCCATCACAGTACATGCTCAGAATATCTCACTCTTGTTCTTAAACAAATTTAAAAATAGTTTGACATTGGTCTTGGTGGATGTAATGGTTTCACAAACCTTGTGCTTGAGTTCATCCTCTTCATGCTGATAGTTTGAATACACAAGATTTTAGGTTTATTCACAGATAAAAATCGCACAGACTTATATCTGGAGACCTTGGAGGCCACAGTTTACGATTTAACATTCTCATTAAACATCTCGTTAAGCAATAATGGATTAATTAGCAGTGTGTACTGTAGTACCATGTTGCATGAAATGACCTTGTTTTATGTTCCACTTCTTGCCGTCTATATGCAACTTCTGTTAGCATTTACTCGTCTTCTTCACTTTATTTTATGTCACAATACATTTCTGCCCACCCGGCCATCATCAGGGGCACAGGTTGCTGTGCTGGAGGGATCTGCTGCTCTCTGTAATGTTCTGCTTTGCGTATGTAATTACCAAGGACTAATTCTAGGTTATGTGAGTTACGAGCTGTAAACATGCACGTGTTGGCCTTATCTGTAATATGTAATGGGTCATATTAAAGTTATATTTTAAGGTATATATTTATGTAAGTTCGGAGGCACACGGTAGTGTAGTTGGTTGAGGTACTATACTACAAGGTCGCTCGTTCGACTCCCGATGAAGTCACTCGATTTGTTTCAATTGACCTAATCCATAAAGCCGCACTATGGCCCTGGTCTCAAATCAGCCTGTAACAGAAATGACTTCCAGGAATCTTTCTGAGGAGCAAAGGACGGCCGGCGGTTAAGGTTGTGCAACCTTATCTTCATCTGTGAGCTGATGGTCTAGATAATGTGGGAGCCTCGACGTCCCAAACCCTATGGGCCTCCACGGCATATTACAAGGATAGCTTTATTGATGTATGTTCTCTTTCTGTCATGTTCTTAACAATTCTGTTGGTTTGTTTATTTTCTTTTGGTTCAGTGTGTGGGTGTTCTGAATGTTTTTGTAGAAGCTGAAGCTGTTCTACTACGAATGATTACGTTGGCCGACCGGCAAGCAGCAAGCTTCCGCTCCAATAAAAATATCCAGGACAGCCACACACCGAACCAAAAATCAAGAAACCACAAAACCTTAAGTAACATCAGATATGGGCAGCGCCATAGCTCAAGGGGTTAGTCGCTGGCTTCCCACCGCGGCGGCTGGATTCGATCCCCGGTCTGATCAAGTGGGATTCGTGGTGGACAAAGTGGCGCTGGGGGAGGTTTTCTCCGAGTACTTCGGTTTCCCCTGCCAATCTTCATTCCACCAAATTCTCCATCATCATAATCACCCGGGGCACGCTACAATACGCCAATCAGTGGCCGCTGTGCCGAGTGGACCCAGTTAGACTCCAACCCCCACTAAGCGAATTAAAAAAAAAAAAAAAGAAACAGCTGATATGTAGAGACTGAATATGCGTAAAGCAGTAGAACAATTTTGTATTGTTGATCGCCTATGATGATTTTTGAAGAGCGGGAGTACCAGCATTTCCAGCCTCGATAATTCATGTTGTATTCGGCTCAGTACGAATCTCCTTTTGAGTGTGAGCACTTTGACATGCACTTCTTGTGAATATGAGGACTCGGGCAGAATGTTATCAGTCCATGCTCGTTACTGTTTAAGCTTGTTTAGCCTCCAAGTTCATCTTGATATTGGCAGCATATAGAACTGCATTATGGCCACGGCTGATGCTACGAAGACAATTATTTAAGGGGGATGCAAAACAAGACATGAGTTTTATCATGGGATGCTTCTTGTTTTAATAAACACCATTGCAAGAAAGGAAACAAGCAGAAGCTGAATTTGGTGTCCAATTATATTTATTTACCACTTAAAATACAGAATTATATTAGGATGTATTATACGATAGCAATATATGCTATGCAATGACCATTCTCCCTGCGTACAGCAAACCGTAATGATGGCGGGTGAGTGATCACGAGCGCCCAGGCGGTGTTTGCATGTACTACTGATTCTGCTAGTAGCTAGCCCTGCTAACAACAGTCTCTGTACCCTCAGATGCCTTGTTCATGGAAAGTGCTAATTGATGAGCTTGAACCCTGCATTCTGTGTTTCATCCGGTACTGGATGTTGTGCCTGGATTCTGAGTACGCTAAGTCGAGCCCCAGATCTGCAATATAATTCATATTGACGATGACTCTGTAGTCGGCTCACGTCATATCTAGGCATCTGTTTGTCAGTATACAGACGCTGTTACAGTTTACCTTCACTATCAATGTCTAGCCAGTAGACTAATAACTTGTAGTCTTGGTTTCCGTCTGTAGTGCAACAATGATAATTTAACAACATT